GAAATCTGGGTGATAAAGTGGAGAAACTTGAAAAAATGTGGCGTTTGTCTGAATGGGTTTGTTGTCAGAAATCAGCCAGTCAAGCAGCGTATTTTGGGAAAGATGAGAAGGCTGTTCTTCATCTGGACCTTTGTGATTCACCAGGGTCAGAGTGTTACAAGACTCGGGTTCTTCACTGTGTGCAGCTGGCACTTCAGATACCAGTTCTCTGCATTCAGAAATAAATCAGGTTATTGTACGACTGGTCACCCCATCATCAATTACTACTGGGAGTGTTCCTGAGTGCTCACTGCATAATCCTATCTTCTGCAGAAGCTTTGTGACTGAAAGGACTTCTGCGAGCCAGAATTGCCAGTGAAGCTGACTGACATGCAAGATAGACCCTCAGTAACCAGATTTTGCATGTTCCAGATCTGTCTTGATTGCTAGTTATTTCTTTTCATAGGAATTCCTCCCTTTTAAGTGGTTAACTCTTTCAAGGCTCTTGAGAGATGCTGTACCTTAATGTGTGGTGTTCAGATTGCTAATGACTATGTCACAAACTCATTTGCCATGCTAGACAACATTATTTCTGGGTGGTGATTCCATTGCCAACGGGGTGGGGTGTGATTGGTTTTCTTTGTTTATTTTGTTCTGTTTTATTTTTAATGAACCGAATGGCACAAAGTCTGAGCTGGGAAAGGACAGACTAAATTTGAGACCTTTTCTCATTCTGAGGTTTTGAGATCCTGGAGTCTGTCTTCTGGGCTGTCTAAATAGCCATGCAAATGGTCTCAGCCACTTGGGAAGAGTGACATCTGTCTTCTGTAATGTAAACTGGAATCCTAAAGTAATCCTTTATTGGCCATTTGTGGCATTTGTTGAAAGGCCGTTCATAAATAATGTGTGTGTTAGATGGTTGGTTACAAGTTGAAGTGGATCCTTCCAGTTTTATCTTAACAGTTCTGTTCAAGTTTAGTCTCTGACTCCTAATATTTGATGGGGAACTTCAGTAAGAGATCATAGAAAGTAAGCCTCCCCTTCAGCCTTTGTACTGATATCGTAGCAAAAATCAAAAGAAAATCTGCAGAACGTTCTTATAAATGTGAACAGTTTGAAAACCTTAGTGAAAGGGAGAAGTTTCAATGAGGCTATGAGAAGACCTAATCTGTGGTGTTCTAGGGTGCTGCCCTATGGCTGTCAGCAGAGAGATGAGAGCCTAGTGGCCCTCAGCTCACGTGAACAGCTCAGATCCTCAGATCCACAAACAGCCCTGGTATTGAAGGTTCTGAAGATGGGCAGGTGCTGAGTGGGAAATCGAATGCAAAAGTATGAGATAGAGAATGGGGTGAAGCCTTTGAGTGGTTCACTATGTGCATCAGTCTGAAGAGGAGCTGCGAAGGGTCATGTGGAGCACCTGAGTACCACCAACATGCTGTTCTGAGGTAGAACACTGCAAGAAAATGTCCTTTCACCCACTGTTATTACAAGATAGCAGAGGAAGATGTTCACTTTGTTAGTAAATATTGCTTAAATGGTGAAGTGAGCATGTTATTTAAAAAACTGCTGCATCAGTTTTGATGGTTTTGTACTAACTCTAATTTGTAAGGGAAAAGAAGGAATGGAGAGAAAAATCTTTCCTTTAAATCTGGCATTTAAAAATGAGCCCTTTGTAAGGCAGTGCAAGTTGGGTACTTGCACTCCAGCTCTGGTGATGGTTGCCCCTGTCCTCTGTTCTGGCTATCTAAGCATTACATCCAAAATGTGCAAATATCTCCATGCCAAATTTCATTTCCAAATTCTTAGTGAACTTAGTCACAATGAATGTAGGGGTTTTTGTTGCTGGCATTTTTTTGGTTGTTTGCTTTTCCCTACTTAACAGTATGGTGGTGTCCTACCCTGCTCCTGCAGATATGTAAAGGGCCAGTAGAGGTGGTGCTAACCTCTCCCTGTTTGTTCCTCTTAGATTTTGGAGTTGACAAGCAATTTGCATTCCACTGAGCACTTGGCAAGGGACGTTGCTGCTTCTTTTAGCTAGGCTTATGTGATGCTTGTGGACCTTGACCCATTCTGCTCCTCAAACTCATTACTTTAAAAAATTAATCCTAAAGGTCTCCTGGAACTGTCTTCCTGATGCTGTGGATGGGAAAGCAAAGCTACCTTGGATGTTTCCTTGGCTTTCCTTTTTTTCATCAGATTATGTTAAAACTGCTTGTTAATCTGCTTCTGGTTTTTGAACTATCCTTTTGGAAAAAAAAATCCCCCTTTCCGTCAGTTCAATGAATAGCCAACAGTTGCTGGCTCTTTCAGTTTCACATTCTTTTTTGCAAGAACACTTTTTAGTTTCTCACTAATGTTACTACAAGGCATTTTTGCAAAGCTTAATTAGACCTTTTCTGCTGTGTTTCTGACCCTGTTCCAAATGGAAACTAAATTTAATATTAACTTTTCTAATGGGAGTCATTAGCAGATCTGTTTCCTTCTATTTTTCTACAGACTGCGGTGATAGTAGTGATTGTGTCTGCTAGATGAGTGAGGGGAATTAAAGTGTTTAAGAACAAAGGACTTCTTAAAATTTTTTTTCCCAGTATTGTTATGTCATCATTTAAAAAATCTTGACTCAGATAATTAATCTGTTTTATTTTCTCTCTCTTTCCTTTGACTCAATACATCTGCAGTAAAGCCTCATTGCAGCCTTCCAGTACCTGAAGGGAGCCCACAAACAGGAGGGGAGTCAACTCTTTACAAGGGTAGATAAAATCTGGACAAGGAGAAATGGTTTTAAGTTGAAGTAGGGAAGATTTAGGTTGGCTATCAGGGGGAAGTTCTTTACCAAGAGAGTGGTGAGGTGCTGGAACAGGCTGCCCAGACAGGTTGTGGATGCCCCATCCCTGGAGGTGTTCAAGGCCAGATTGGATGGGGCCCTGGGCAGCCTGGTCTCGTATTAGATATGGAAGTTGGTGGCCCTTCCTGCAGCACGAGTGTTGGAGCTTGATGATACTTGAGATCCCTTCCAATCCAATCCATTTTGTGATTCTATGAAAGCTGCTTTTATGTGCTTCGGATTTTGGTGAGTCTCTCTCTGTAGGAGGGGTTTTACGTTCCCTGAGCGCAGCACAGAGATCTGTTGAGTGCTCCATCGGGCTCTGTTCAGCAAGAGGGAGGGTTTCTCCGTGGAGAGCTTTTTGTAGTTTAAAGCCATTCCCCCTTTTCCTAACACTCTCAGGCTGTGTTAAGGGTCAATCCTCCCATTTATAAGCTCCTTTCAAGTACTGGAAGGTTGCAGTGAGGTCTCCCAGAATCTCCTCCACACAGAACAAGTGCAGCTCTCTCAGACTTTCTTTACAGGTGAGCTGTTGCCTCTGATCATCCTCATGACCCTGCTCTAGGCCCTCTCCAAAAGCTCTACGTCCTTGTCCTTTCTCTTTGGTAAGAGGCCTGGTTTTGTGTTCTGCATTCACTGCAACTACTCCAGAGGCAGGTTTGTTGTCTTCTTCAAGGGCTTTTCTATTGTGCCTATCACTGTGGCTGAGTTTTTCAGCAGCATGCATCTTCACAAAACCCCCATGAAGGAAGAGGCAAAACTATCCTCGTGTCCTAATTCTGGGCATGCTGGCTGCAGATTAAAACTGCAGATTAAATGCTGTGCTCCCTTGCAATGAGTGTTGCGGCCTCTTCTGTGGGGTTAAAGAAACTGATCGTGTTGGGTTCACTCACAGCTGGGTGCTCCATGGCCAACATCAGCCTCCAGGAGTCTGGCAGGTGGGTTGCAGCCTGTGCTTACTTAGGGGCTCTACCTTTAGCATCTGAGGGCGGCTTCTGAGGTGAATGACACATGGCTCCAGTGCAGAAGACATCAATAGGCCACAGAGGGCATCTGGCTGTTCCTGTCTGACCAAACTCCTGGGAGCTGGCTTTGGGGTTGTCATATTTTAAGATTTTTATACTGTAAATTTAATGTTTCTACAAATAGCTTTATTAGTGGAGTAAAACCTACATTCCTTCGTCCTCCCAAGATGTAACAGCTAACTTTTGACCTCAGGAGGTCTTGTTTAGGGTTATCCGCATACTTAAGCAAAGATGCCAGCAGTGGTGGCCGTGCTTCTCTGCATGGAGCAGCCATTTAGCAGAGAAGAAGCACAACTTACCTGGTGTCATGCTGCTCTGTTTAATGGGTGTTCAGCATGAGGGTGCTACAAAGCTGTAGTACTGAATAAGGCTCCCTCACCCCTCTGCCTGTTCCACTTCAGCTGTGTCCTGGCACACATTACTACATTTTTCAGAATCACCAGAAATGATTTCTTCTCTGGAGATATTCAAGACCCACCTGCATGCTTTCCTGTGTGACCTACTATAGGGGACGTCTACTATAGAGGTACCTTCTGCTCCCTATGATTCTGAGATTTGTGCTGCAGCTTCTCTAAACAAAAAATAAAAGAGGCTGAAGTCCTACAGCTGTGACAATAGCAGCTCAGAGGGTTAAACTCCTGCAGGCACCCAAAGGGATGGGGATTTTGTGATGACAGCACCTGGCACCTTCTCTAGGAGAAGGCAGCAGTGTGTGGCCAGGCCTGTCCTGCTTGGCTGGAGTAGGTATCTGCTGCTGCAGAGAACATAATTCCCAGAGCAGTATTCTCCTCCTCCTGGAAGCCAGGATTTCCTAAAGCATAAGAGGAGATGGTCAGCCAGCACTGAATTTTGGATTAAAATGGGATTTAAACTTCACTGCCTGAAAACCCAAGTCTTAGCACCACAGTTGGGCACCTTCTCTGAGCACTCTCTAACCAGTGCATCAGTATATAAACACTGTCATGTTTTGAGGCAAAAATGATTTATTTTATATTCATACTTGAATTCTTCGTAATCTTTCCCTGTGTTTTCCAGCACTTCATACCAAACACGCGTTTAATGAAAAAGGCAGTGTTTGAACCCTTTGCATAAATCTAAACCTAAAATGCATTTATGTTTAGAACCAATGGCGGCCGCTGTCATTGCGGTGTGTACAGAGGGAGACAGAAAAGTTAACCAGAGACAACTTTTATTGTGCATTGTTATGCAACAGAACAAATGGAACTGGAGGTATGTAGTAATAAAACCAATATTCAAATTAGGATTAACACCTGAAATAGTAAACTGCAGGTAACAAATGTCTTTATAATTAAAAAATATTGACTGTTTAAAAAATTCTCTAAATTTTTTATATTTTTTAAAAGAAATGTGTGTTGCCACATAGAAAACAATTCACACATCCTATAGAAAGTGTCACAAAAACCTTACTAGTCTATATTACACTATGCACTTTTTTTGTACAATATCTGGTAAAGGTCTATCCCTAACCTGTACTTACTCTACACAGTACAATCATCGTTAGAAAGTATTCATAGAATTAACTACACCATAACAATAAAAATATCAGGATTAATGGTTTTTTAATCACAGTTTCTCCACAAATATTTGTTATAGAAAATATAGCGAAGGCATGTTGGCACAGATGGGCGTGCGGTACTGCTACACAAAGTTTGAGAGAAGGCAGATACATAAATGACAGTAAGATTAAAGAGCACGGAGGGATAAGACAAGGATCTATCCTCCTGGGATGTGCAGGAGTGACATGACGGATAGCAGCTTCCTGCTGCCAGCCTGCTGCCAGCAGCCAGCACAGAAGGGATGTGCTGGTGTGCAAAGCACAGCGTGTCAATCCTGGTGTCTCGCTGCACGAGGGCTTACAGCTATCTGTTATTCCAGGTTCCAGAGCGTTATGCCTAACGTCTTGTGGCTACCTCGATGCTTTGATGTGTGTAAATTTATAATGCCTTGTGACTCAGGTAATTGGAGTGAGTGGTGGTGGAGGGTTTTTTAAATGAGATGGGTGGCTCAGGAGTCAAGTGGCCACAACAAGGGAGATGCTGTTGTTATTTGCTGTTGTTATTTTAAAAACAAGACTAAATCCAAAAAGAGATGAGCTCCCTTCTTCTGATGCCTGTCTGTGGCTGCTAGTCATGTACTGGTGATTGCACGCAAGCGGTTGAGGGAAAGATTTTGCTCATGAATGAAAGGTCCAAACCTGCAAAGCCATTTCCAGCGCTTAGGTGGCTTTTGGGACAAAACTATACATTTGGTTATTTTGCACAGTATGAGAGTGCAGGACTGTGAGTGGTACCAGGACACTGGCTAAGCTTTTTACACTAAAAGTAAAGCTAGACTTACAAGATATTCCAGGAGAATCTTCAGGCTACTAAGTGAGAGAGGTCTGTCCAGTCCAGTAATTCTGTCCTGAGACTGTTAAAAATGAAGCATCCGTATTGTTAATCTCGTATGTTGAAACATTTGAAAGGAACCATCACAATGTTTACAAAAATACAGCATGATACATATCGCTGTGGACAAATTTACAGTATAATGCTGACTCGCACGCTCTGACATGTTTTACCAAGTAGTTTTGGAAAGTGTCACCACATAGAACATACACCAGCAAGACTTACACCATTTGAGCAATGTAACATCTTCTATAATAGTTCTCTTAAAAAACGTGTAAGTTCAACACAGAAAAGCTACTATAGGATATCTGTACTGTGACGTTTCTATACACCAAGTTTCTCCCCCTCAGCCACAGCACCTCGTTGACTGGTCCAAGCAAGTCACCTCTGCCTGCTATGAGAGATGCTGCCTCAAAACCCCTTGGCCTGGTAAGGTGCAGTGTGACTGAACTGCTGTTAATGTTAGAAAATGAACTGGTTCGTCTGCGTTGGATGAGTGCCTACCAGCCCCCTTTTAAGAAGTACCAAAATTAAAATAAGTCAAGAGGTATTGGACATTTAAAGGCCTAAAGCATATCCTGGCTGAGCAGGGTGTATACCGAAGCCTGTAGGCTGCTCGTAGCAGCAGGTGACGAGGAGGCCAATGCCAAGACAGAATGGTGATGTGGGTGAGCTGCCATTTGTGGGAGTGCCCCAGGTCCTCGTCTCCAGCTAGGCCAGGGCCGTGGCTGCACTGCACTGCAGAGGGCCCTTCCAGGCTGTTAAGGGAATGGGCTGTGTGTTTCCTACCCTGCCCAGTGCATGGGTGAAGGTTGGGAAAGAGAGGAGAAGGATGGAAGGAGGAATTAGTAGCTTCTCCAATGGTTTGAGCAAGATGGGTGGGAAAGTTGGGCAGTATGAGACACACGTTCAGGAGAATAAACACTGATGAGGTAGCACTGAAGTTGATCAAAATTTGGATTTTCTTTCCAAAAACCAGTTCCCCATCCCCATCTGTTGGGAAACATCATCCCAAGGAGGCTGGGCCAGGCACTGACCAATACCAGCAGCAGCCTGGGCAACTGACCAAGGTATAGAGATGGAAACACCCTGATGCTGAAAGGAAGGAACTGTTTCTTTGGCATTATGTATTTCAGGAGTGCATCAATTTAGAGGGACATGGGACTCCTAAGCCTTTGAAATTAAACATTTGAAAAGGACAGATTGTTTTTCCTTTACATCAGCATCCGTTTCCATATTGTATTCTGCTGTGAATTGGCTTCTCTTCTAGAAAACATCCTTTTTTTACAGCTCTTAGTCTGGATCCCAGGCTTACTTCTCTTACAAAGAAATGCTGAATTAGGTTTTTCTAACTCAGCTCTTCCCTGAATGCACCACTGAACATCTGACTGTTGAGACCATCACACTGCCTCATCTATTTTGAGGACTGGATACAAAATAGCAATTTAGCAATTTTTTTGGGGGGGGGGATGAAAAATGTCATGGTCAAGTCTAATTCCCTAGAAATCTAGGTAAACATAGTCTCTATCTAACACACAAAGAAATTTTTATCTATTAGAAGTGCCTGTTACTGTTCTGGGCCTTTGAAGGACTCTGTGGTTGACGACTGGTGTTGTTTGATGCAAGAAGCTTCATTTCCTGGTATAGTTGGCTAAAGGATGCCCCTGAATTTTCTGTCTTACGTGGTATTTTAAGGTAGCATTTGTAATTGTGCTACTTTTTGTTATGAAATGAGTGACCACTTCTTTCATTGTCACAAGCAAGGAGATGTGTTCTTTCATCTCCTTCTCAGGAAAAGCAAATAGTATCTGGTTGTTATGTCTGAAGGTCCAGAACTGGGCCTGTTAGAAAAATGCAAATAAAACGGCAGCTTTTGTTTCTTTTGAAATTTTTGTAATTTTTAAGTGATCTTTTCTCTAGAACTAGATGAAGCAAACTGCAGTTTCCCCTTGGGGTGCTACAAAGGGTTTGCAAATAATAGGCACTGAGAAATCCCATAGGGCAGATTTTGAAGTGGATTTTTCTGTAAATGAGGATATGATAGAATGGAGAAGCTGAAATGTACGCAGTATGTGTTCAAACATGCTTTGGACTCTTAAATGACTTCACGGTAAGTATGTTTAACAAATAGTCTCTTCTAAATTAACTGCTTGCTACTGTTGTGTAAGTTTTCTCTCACTGCTGTCAATCACCAGATCCATCTTGCATACCTCTATTGAAGACTTCGTCCTGTGACCCCGGATGGTCAGTCCCTTCATAATATGAGTTCCCATTGTGAAGGAAAGTCCCCACTGCTCGCCCCTGACGAGCGTGTCCTACTGCGTCACTGAACACCTTGTTGATTTGCTCTTCAGATGGCATCCACCAGTCAGGGTTGGAAGTGCAATGCATTCTAATGAACTCTGCAGGAAAACAGGTAAGAATACAAAAAACAGCTTGTCTTGGCAGCACCCGCTATCGCCCAGACACCAAAAGCCCATGGGAAATAAGAAACAGGGCATCACTGTTCTACTTAAGCAGAAGTAAAGCCTTATGGGAAATGCCATGATAATGCCAACTGGACCTACTGTACTTCCCTACAAGTGTGCTTCTCCACATGCATGTCTGCTCTTCTACCTGATGGGACCTGAAGATAAAATCCCTTCTTGTAGAAAGAAAAAGAATTAATTCTAAGAAGTGACATTTATGATTCAGCATCTGCAATACATGTAAAAGTTAGAAGTTAAAACTGGGATGCGTTTCGCTTGAAACCTGTCGTGTGTGTGGTTATTGTCAAGGACCTTTATCATCTCCCTCTGCTGGCTGCCGGAACACCAGCAGGCTGCAGCAGCATGCTACCCACTCTAAAATGTGTCTACTGGCATTTCAGTTCTGTGCTACTTTCTCCTTGGATTTTCTTTCCTTTGAAAAGAGTCCTGCTCTTTTCATCTTTTGGAATCTGACACTTGTTTTTCAGAGACTAAACTGGCCTTAGAAACAGCTAAATGAGATGAAAGGGCTAAATTGGGGAGCCATGCAGTAGCTATCAATGTGTGGGAAAGTGAACTGTACTGTATGTAATTTGGCCATTTAAGCTGCTGCTGCTTCTATAGACAGCTGTTCGTGTGTGATGATTAGCTCTTAAAATTTCCTTCCAGATTGTTTGATGTGCAATAACTTGCAGAAGGTGCCTCACCAATTCTGGAATGGTAACTGCTAGACAGATTTCCAATCGGTGTTATTCGGACTTTGAAACATCTAAGTCCAATTTTAAATATGTGGGAGCCTCATTAGATGTATTGGATATATTGTATCTTATAAGGTAATACAGCTTCTTATTTATTCTGTAACATTAGTTATTCCCTCATGCAGTGCTGCATCTCCTAGGATATTTTTAAATTCCATTTTCTCCTGTTGACAAGCCAGCAGCACACAGTAACTGGAGTAAGGTAACTTCATTACTGTCACAACACCTTGAGACCGGGTAATGCTGTGCTCCTACATGAGTTGCCGTGCCTGCAAGATATCTCATCTGCTGGACAATTAGGATGGGATTTTTGCATAGCTCTTCCAGCAGTGTGTCTGCAGAAGTGATAGCTATCTAGGATTTAAGTTCATTTCCCTGAAAATCGACACAGGCAACAGTAATTCCTAGTTACGTTCACATGAGGCTTCACAAACAGATTTCTCTTCTGAAAGAAGTAGTCACTATGTAAAGGATCAGTCTGATAACTCAGGCATGCCAGGCTGCTGGAAAGCTGGTTCCAGACAATGGGCTGTTGTAGGAATACACTGAAAACATTTACAGATGTTTAATCTACTCTGAATGCAGAGAGTAGCAGTTTGCTCTTCTGGCAGTGGTGTGATACATTGGAAATCAGTCAGACGTGTTAGCTGGGCTTGCAAATGGGTAGGAGCCAATAGCTAAGTCTTGACACTGTGGAATGTCATAATGTTCTCACCCACACAAGAAAGCCCAAATGAACAACTGTCTATTTAACTTTCTTAACTACACTGAACATTTTGATTTCCTGTTCAAACTTCTGAAAATTAAGGCAACTGGCCTTTCTCTTTCTCCCAGAGAATGCTTCCACATTCGGTCAGCTTAGTGCCCAAAGAGGCAATTAGCCATACATGTAAATTCATCTACAGGTGCAATTACTGTTAGTCCTAGTGGGAAGAAGCAGGAGAGAAAGAGGAAGAAAAGGTCATTAGCTCTCCGTTTGTGCACAAATCATTAGATGAAATGTAAATCCATTTAGCAAATAGTATTCAGCCCTTCAGCCTTCAGTTTCCAGGAGAACTTCTGAGACCCTGAATCCAGCTCCAAACTCCACTGTGGCATGCTGTGCAATGGCCTTGTCCTTCTGCTGAATGCTCAAGGAGTGTAAGTACTGCCAGAGTATCATGTAACAGGTTAACAGGTTCCTTCATAGTACAAGAACATCTTTGCTTAATTTGGCTGTGCACAAAAACTGAGTTCTTTACCTGGTTACATCAATGTGCTACAATTAAATTTATGACTTGCTGAGCCTTGCTGGATTCCTGTAACCCAAGTGGGAAGAGGCTCTGTCCTATGAGTAACAACTTAGGGTTGCTGTTACATGACTAAAAGTCATTACTGTTGGCTGCTGAAAATTTATCAGTTTACACTGCGTTGATGAGTAAAACATTCCTGAAGTCAGCTCAATCTAAATTTAAGGCATGTGCTCATAGAACACTACAAGTAAAGTTCATTAAATAAATGATAAGCAGATGCATTTAAGAAATGCAGGCACCCATATGACAAACATACTTTCTTTAAAGCAGAACATTAAAAGGTCCTGCTTTGTATGTTTCATTATAAAGCACAGTAACAGGTCTTAAAATTTCAGGAAACCCAAGTACGAAATGCCACAACAGAAAATTCTTCTAAATCTAGGTTCTTTTTCTGTATTGTCCAACATTATCAATGTTGTTGTAAAATGCTTGCAAAACTTTCCTTCTTTTTGAGGGCAGATGTTCCCTAACTTTCACAGTAAACGTTACTCGGGTATTTCAAAGAAGTTAAATCCTTGACAATACTTTTGTGCATACCTGTATTTATCTCTCTAACCTGCAGATGTTCTTGGCCCTACTGAAAGTCCAAACTTATTCTGAATCTTGTAAGATTTTGACTCAAAGGCCATTCACTGACTTTGAGTGCCATTTGCTAAACATGTTTGGCTAAAAATATTCCTTTGGTTAATTTTATTGTGTATTAGCAAGAATGCCCTGTTGTTTTACTATAAAGGAGGGCAATCAGGACTGTATGATGTTCCTTTGCTGTTTCACATACAGTGGTGTCACGCACTCATTGACCTATCTCCTCCCTTAGGTAAGCAGCACTGCTTTTTTTCCCCATTCAAATACCTATACACATAAATATAATACATACATAGATAGGTGTATGTATGTATTAAAAAAAAAAGGAGGGGGGGGGGGAGAGGGTTTCTGGCTGCTTGTCACTTCTCTCTGAAACCCCTTCTAGATGTGCAACTGTCAGCCAAACGCTTCTACTGAGCCAGAGCCAATGCGGTGAAATGAGATCACATATGGTGGACACTGAGCGAAAGGATGCAGTACCTCTGAGACATGTTACTTTTACTGGATCCAGAGGACGTCTTTCAGGACCTGTCTCTCCTGACTGCACTGACCTTTTCCTTTTCCCAAGGCCGCATGAGTACTTAAGCTCATCGGTTGTGAAAACAAATCTGATGAGATATCGAAGGAGCCGCCGTCCATCTTTCTTGGATGAATTTACAGCCTCATCCCACTGTTTACTAGTGATGTAGACAGGGTAGTTGTTCAGCAACTGCTTGCTCCCCTGAAAAAAGGAAATATTTCCATTGCTTATTTTACAAGGCAAATAGCTAGTGTCAGCTGCAATAAAAACACATGCTTCTTAAGCAGCTGGGATACCACAGGGAAACACACACCGAGGTGAGCACATCATTGCTCTTACTGAGTACCTTTTCAATTATATTTCCATTTTTCATAACTGCAAGTTGGCAAGGTGAAAGGAACACGTTTAAGAGATGGCTACTGATAATTTGCACTTCAGCAAGTAGGTCAGAAAGTGCTGAGAACCAGCGACTAGATTATATATTTAAATATAACCTTTCTTCTTAATCTGTTAAAATGCATAGAAAGGGGCTTTGAAGAGCATGATCAAATGGAACACTTCACAGCAGCCAGCAGTTTTCTTCAGAGGTGGCTCTTTTGGTCTATTTTTATAATAAACTCATCGCTTCTGTAGTGCACACCTGAAACCTGACAGCAGTTACATTACTGTGAGAAAACACAAAGAAAATAAATAAAGCAACTATGAAAACTAAAAGCTTCATTACTATTAATGAATGCCATATTAACTCAAATTACAGCTTTACACGAATGCCACCATGTCAGCTGGAAAGAAATTTTGCTTTTAACCTTCGTAATTTGTGTGCTTTAATATTCCAACATTAAATGAATGCTGAGAGACTGATTATGGGGATTCTTGTAATCCACACCCATTATAAACCCTCTTGAGTCAATTGTACCTCAATTGTGTTACTTTCATTCTTGCCTCCTATAAAATGCTACACTTTGTGATCAGTCAATTAATATATGATGATACTGTTAATAGACTAAATCAATAAGGAGATTGACCATGCAAATAACCTAACACCATACCCTCCTAGACACCTGTACCGTGATGCCTGCAATAAAAGCACTTTAATAAAGTGTTTCTTACACTTGTATGTTACACTTGTGGTCAACTGCTGCAAAGTTACCCTCCCTGCTTTTACATCTCTGATATCTGAAAACTCTTTTAAGAACTGCTCTTGTCTCTTTTCATATGGTTATAAAAGCATGCTGGGGCAGCTTGGGAGCCTCTTTGAAGCTTTTCCTTGAGATTTCCTTTAATTTTTTGATAGTTTGATAAGTAAGAACGAAGCTAAAAGCAGTGAAGGCTGTGAAGAGGGGGTCACTGAAGAGTCTTTTGGCACAACTTAAAACTTTGTCACCTCCCAGTGTGTGGAACACCACTAGGAGCATCACCTACATGATGGCATGCCACCTATTTGCCTCACTGCAGACCTAACTGGCTTTGTGCAAACCACCGCAAAGACAGCCCTGGGAAAATCCAAAACTCAGCAACAGAAGCCAAAATATAAAGGAGGAGATGGGCCTTGTTGCTCTGATGGCCAAATATCCCAACGCAGTTGGAGCTGACACTAATATTTCCTTGGCTTGTTCCCTCAGACATAAGGCACATCTAACCCTAATGTTGGCACTTTTTTTTCCAGCAGCTTGCTCCGCATCCCTTTTATTTATACCATAGATCCCTGAAATCTCCTTTTTTTCCTATTAAGATAAAATACAATGAAGCAAGAACCTTTCTTACCAACACTTGTGCAACTGACTCTGGGCGCTGCCTCGCTTTTGGGCAAGCCAAGCAGGAGCAGTGCAATGCCAGTCCTTGCACAGCCTTGTGCTCCAGGCTCACTCACATGTGTTAGGGATGAATGCTCATGGGCAGCTTTGCTAAGCAGCAAGTTATCCTAAAAGCCACCTTTCTGTTTAAATGTATTGCTCTAATGGAAATGTGGGTTTTTAAATGTAGTGCAGGAAGGCCTTACATCTAAATTTCATGAGAGCTCCCATTACTATTAACTGTGGAGAAGGTAATAAATTTTGTGTAATTTCCTCAGCCCAAATTTTATTATACTTCTCTCTTATTCCCACTGAAATTTAGGATATTTTTCCTTGTTCTTCACCAAAGGCATGATGCAGTGTTATGATATTCTGTTGAACAATTACTCTGTTCCTTTCATTACTTGCTGCCAGAGGAAGGCACTTCTGGGCAAAATATTTGTGGTAAGTATATGATGCAGTTTGATGCGTCCAGCAGTCATTAAACTAAAACAAACAGAAAACCTTCCAGAAATGAAATAAGCAGATCCTGAAAGATGAACTACAGTACAAATGTGTTCATGCTTGTATTTGTACATGATTAAACTTATGAATAAAAGATTAGCATCTAAGTGTTTAATTGAATAAAAAATTCTGTCACATCATGACAAGTGATTCCATGTGGGCAGTACAGAATGGCCCCATTTTCACAGTGCCGGAAAAATTTAGTTAAACAGAAGAGCATGAAAAAAGGAAAATGAAGCACTGGAATATATTGGAGTGATAACATGCAATGATATATAAATATAAATATATACGTATTGCAATTTGCACAGAGTAAAACTGAAGAGAGAAGCACTCTGCTGCAAAGTCTGAACTGCTGCAAAGCATCTTCAGCAAAACTGTGTTCAACTGGACTCTGTGAGACTTGCACAACATGCAATTTATATGATGAGCAATAGGAGGTCAAACTAGACCTACATCTTCCCTCCTGTGATTTTGCTTGCGTGAAGGACGCATAGTGACATGTACGGACTATACATATGTAAGCATGCATAGAACAATCCCAAAATACAGACTTTTTACATGTCTGAAAAGAAACACACTGGAACAAAATTAACGAGTTACAGCAGAGCTGATACCCACGTCTATACGTTTACCTTCTAGAGAAGACATCCATTCCCCGCTTTTTCAGTGAGCTTTCAAAAGGCATATAATTACAAAAAATCCCCACACTTTGCATAAGCACAAAATGGCCAATGTGTAACATTTTGTTTGGAATCCCTTCTGAAAAGAAAGGGTGCTCCGAAGACCTTCTGAAGCCATACAGTGGCTCTGGTGGCTAAATGAAGGAAGTAACTTGTAGTTCAGCTTAAACCAGCTCAGGGCCACATTAAACAACAGGAGGCTTTGTGGGAAGCTGGAGGCAGCCCCACTTTTTTTTCTTTACAAAGCATTTGTTGGCTACAACACTTCCTCCATCTCTCTCTATTGGCTGACAGTGCCTTAGCCAACCAAGTGTTTGGACAACCAGTAGCATCTGCTTGGCTGGGAGAAGGAGGCTTCACCAGGCTCCCTGCTTCCAGCTACAGCATTCACCAGACCAGCCCCAGCCTGGAGTCCGCCTGTGACTCATCAATCACGTTCCCAAGGGAAGGGGAGAGAAAATTACCCAAGCAGGATGGATGCAGATGCACTAGTGATGACACTCTTACATTTTGGGGATTACTGTACCAAGAACGACAGTTTAATAAAAGATTTTACATATTTTACTATTACATGTATTCTTCCAGTGACTTCTAATTTACTTTCCTACTTGTTTGCAATGAATTTTCAAACACAAAAATAAATAACTTGTCTTCACTGTATACTACCTCAGTTGGATGGTCTGTTGGCTGTGGTACCATAAGTTGGTTGTGATGCTGAAGTACAGTCTTCAAGTAATCTAAAACAGTCTGGCAGGGCACTGCATGAAACAAATGGCAATTACTGTATATTAGCCAGCTAGCACAAAATAAGAAAACAACATTAAATCAAGCAGTGTTATTCAGAATCTGTATACCTCTGTGAGATTTATTTCAAATAGGAAATATTCCTCATTTTGATTTGTGCTGTCATTTCATTCAATAAATACACAGCTGACTCTGTATTATTATTTCCTATGTGGAGATCTCTGACATTCATTTTATTTTCTGCCTGCTAGTTTGTAAACTAGTCATTTCAAACTAGAGAAAGCCAATTATTACAAATGCAAATTAGGTCAGCAGTAATGATAGAAAAAAAAAATAAATGTGTAAATACGGTAAACAGCCCAAACCGTACAAATAAGAAAACATCCAAGGACTAAACCATGCAGTGATTAACACATAAACATGCTCTAATGTTTCTGAAACCACAGCATGATTAACTATATCACACGGATTTAATGATTCATATACTTTAATTTTTATTTATTTATTTATTTTTAAATAAAACTAGGTGATAGGCATATTGCTCTGTCTTTCCCTTATCCTTCCCCCTTTTCATCCCCATTGCTCTCATCCATTTCAGTAAGTTGTACCAACATCCTATTCCCTTCTGCTGAGGTGATAGGTTAATTAGGGATGATTCAATTACAGGTCTCTCTTAAGCAGATGCTGCCACATCCCTGATTAACTCCGGAGTATTTTTGAGATACAGTTCTTTTCTCCTGAGCCTGAAACGCAGTAGCAGACTTCAACAGATATTAATCCAACATTAAAACTGACTCCTCCAAGACTAAATAAGCATCATTTTAAAGGTACCAGTCTCACATTTTGTGAGGCTTGTTTCAGTAAAGTATTCAGAGATGTTCTTAGCTTCAGCTAAAAATCCAGAAAAAGAAATCTCAATGTTCCTCCTTATTTATTTTTTTAGTTTCCAGCCTTTACAGCTGGCATCTGGGGCTTTGTCTCAAGCTGGCAATCAGAAAGCAAGCACTCAAATCAGCAACATTCTACGAAGGCAGGATTTACAGTAGCCTTCCCCAATATTTTGCACTCTTTCCTGGGCACTCCCAGTGGGTAATAACAAGCCCCTGCCTAGGCAGTGCTCTCTGCTTAGCCCTGTGCGAAGCAGTGTCATACTCAGTGGTCTGCACACAAAGCCATGCAGAGTCCCTGGCATGGGTAACAAATTCCTACCAGATCGTTTCACCTCAGGCTGATGTATCTGTAAAGACTCCTATATAATTTGATATAACAGGTAAGTACTTTGCCATGAAGTTGTGAGCTTACGTGTTGGACAAAAGTTAGCACTTCCAGTGACGTGGACTATAATATCTCTGGTGATCTCACTGCTTATTACTAGGCCAGCAGCATAGGTGCCAGACAGTGACACCGCTGAAGTGTATGAGGAAGAGAGCATGTATGCTTTTTTGTAAGAAAAAAAAGAGCCTTTTAAAGTAAGTCACCAGATGGCTTTGGAAAATGTTTCAATTTCGAAGAAGTCAGAATGGCAGTCAAGCTTAATAATCTCACCAACCTGCTCAGTAACCTTTTAATGACAGCTGTGCTGCAGCCTATAGCAGCAATCAGAAATAAACAGTACAATAAGTTCTTAGGTGGAATAAAGGAGAAAAACGTGCTAACTACAGGTGGTACATTGGATATTCTTCAGAGGGCATAGAAAAAAAGATTTGGCTTTTCTTCCCCATTTTTATATACAGGAAAGGTTATGGAGAAAGAATATATATAAATCTTTTTGTCCCTGTGGACAGGCTAAATGAGACGGTATTTGAATATCATTTCCTTACATTTTGTTCAGCACAACCAAGCCCCTGTGGTCCAGTGCTAGGTGACTGCTGCTTGCCTGAAGAGCTCAACAAAACAGTGCTGTCCAAGTCCCTGCAGAAAATTAAATACTGAGGACATTGTAACCTGGTGAAGAGGAGAAAGCTCCTTTTAACTATTTGACTGCTTCACATGAGGTTGGAAGTGTTCTAGTAGAAAAATTGAAACTGTGCCCTACTCAAAACACATCGCTTTTGCCTGTGTTTGCTGTTTGATGTGTCCAAAATTAAGTCTGAGCTAGGGATGCCTATGCACGGGATACTCCATGTTTAAATACATGTCCAGGCAACACAAGGGTCACAAAGACTTGTTCCAGGAAACTTCAGAACCTGTGTGATAGGGTCACCAAAACCTCCTACTCAGATACCTGGGATCTTCTGGCAGGTTACAGGAAAAGCGCAAAGAGATATAATGGGTGATTCCACCATTGCTGGAAAGAACTGATCCTCAGACCTGGAGGAGAGCTAAGGAATAGCTGGGAAACTTGAAGAATGTGAGAAGAATCCTGCTCCTGTCCTTGGAAGTTACTGCTCTGAATGTGCCCCTTTTTGCCTAGGGATTTCATTGAGTACATACAGCTGCCAAAGCATTGGTTCTTCCCTGGAGCTTCAGGGATCTCCAGGCCTTTTGAAGCATTCTTCCACATTCTTCCAAATGAACGGGGCAAAAGTGAGAAGACAACAGGAAAGTATTCAGCCTGTTGTGCCCCTGGTACAAGTATAGCTCTAATCGTTCCCTGCTGACAAAATGCTTTCACACTGCTGGTAAAAAAATATAAAGGTGCTAAAAACTGGCTGAAGTATATAAACGTACAATCAATGAATATACAGATGTTACAGTATAGCAGAGAGCTTAGCTACATTGTTGTTACACCAAAGCAGAAAAGACAGGGACACTCACCCGTATCCTGGGCTCACTTAAGAAACTCCAGAGGAGGGATCTCCAGAAGAGATCCTTTCCCCCTGGCAGTCAGCTCTTAAATGGCTCTAGGAGAGGTGCAGCCAGGCTCCACCCTTCCAGCAGCACAGGGCCTTCACCTGTGCTCCCAGGGCTGACTCACTGCTCACCTCAGGTGATCAATCAGAGGTTCAGGCTGTGATTCAGCATTTCCCATACAATAAATAATTCTACCTTCACAAAAGCAATAAAGTTTCAAGCACAAAACTGTATGATTTTTGTATTGTTCTGGTAACTGACGGACTTTGAGCACTTCTGACCCATAAAATCCTCATGAATCAAACAGCTTGCTGTTGGCACAAGTAACCCCTGCCTTTCAAACATCACATGCTGCTTATGATCCAGGCTTCTCGGGCTGCTGTTTCACTAAGACCAAAAATGAAGCCTCAAAGAGGGCAGTGCGAGGCCACAGAGGCAAAGGTTCAGGTTTGGTTCCATGCCCTTCACTGAGCTTTACAAATACACCCTTTGCTGAGAGATAAGAGGAGGTGTTTCCTCTGAACTCTGTAGTAAATGTAACTTTAGAAGAGCATGTGGTTCCCAACAAGTATGAATAAAGATGTAAGCCTAGTCACTTATTCATTTTGTGTTTATTTTGCTTTGATTTGGTCTCTAGAGAGTTAACAGGATCATAACCTGGACAGCCAATTCTCTGCATGCTTCTGCATGTATCAGGTAACGTCAATGCTATTACTATCAGGGATCTGTGCTTACTGTAACCAAAGTGAAAGATGCTAACGTAGAAATAATGTTTGATCTGATTTAGTAGAAAGCCTGGGGGGAGGCAGTAATTTTTCTGCCCATTAGGAAGAAGTTCCCATGGCCCTTACCTTCTGTGTGACTCACGAAAGGCAGCAGCACAGCAACCTGGCCTGCAGGGAGGGACGAAGGAGTGAGATCTCTGAGCAAGCTCGACGGCGAGAAGGTGCTAGGAGAATTTAGTACGTTGGAAAGGCTGGCCGTGCTGAGATGCAGAGTAGAGACCAAGCAGAACACTCTCAGAGGTAGCAGAGCTTCATTGTTAATTGATCAAAGTTACAGACCTCATTGTTATTCCACACAGTAAACTTTGTTTCTGAATGCTGTAACAAGTGTTCCTTTGCCATCGCTCGTCACAGCTTTCTCTGTGGAATAGCCTATTTTCTAATAAACAGTTGGCTGTATCAACCACCAACTATAGTGGCTACAAAGTTTCCCATGCCTCACCCATTCTGCAGATGGTGTGAGCTGGTAAAAAGCAGAAACACTAAAGGCATCCTAGCCATGCAGGGTCTACTCTTGGCTGGTTATTTTTTGGTACCTACTAACTCTCCATTAAAAATGCACACTTTATTTCAGGTCTGCAATTTTCTTTTTCTTCTGTTGTGCTTCCTCAGACTACTGGAGGACAAGTGCTTGTTCCCTGTTATGCACTTACAGTCAGCAGCCAGATTGTTTCTCAATTTTCTCTTTGCTAAGCCAAACACTAACCTTCCTAATTTTCCAGGGAAACAACTCCTTCACAGAAGGCTCCAGATGCTTTTTTTAATTATTCATTTTCTACTGTTTCTCATCCCTGGCTTTCATTCACTACTACCAACTTCTCCTTTACTCCATTTATTACGTTTCTAATTGTCCCTTTGCTGACCCACTAATGTTATCATTTCTGTAACCAGCAGGAATCTCCACCTCCTATACAGTCTTTGGGGACCTTCAAAAAATGCTTTCAATATTTCCCAATTATCACCCACCCTTTCTTTTTCACTCTCAGCTCCAACAACATTCTTTGGTTTTGTGAAGCCAAATTTTCGTAAAGTGCCAAGAATATTTGTAGCATTGGTTTGGTCTGCACTCATTCTTCTCATTATATACATTGACTCATCATCACTTGTGCTCTGACCTGTCAAAACATGGCCTCCATTGCAACACAATGCAGGTGGGGCTCTGACCTTCCAAGAAAGCAGGTGGCAAGAAATCTGGTTATTCTGTTCCTTAATGAGATGTGGTGGTCTGAAGCTGATACTAGCTAGCATCTCTCCCTGTGCCTCACAGAGCAGAGCATGGATTTCAGCACCACAAAATTGGGAAGTGTGCACATGCACATCTGTCCCATTCCGACTGACAGCTGTTCATTAAGACTTGCTTGTCACTGCAATGTGTCCTCCTTTGCTTGACCTTGAGCTATTCTTCACTCGAAGTTCATTTCAGGGCATTTCTAAAG